CCAGCTGGTAAGGATTCCCATTCCAGCTGGTGAGTATTCTCATGCCAGCTGGTAAGGATTCTCATGCCAGCAATGTAAGCAAAATGCAGTCACTGAGAAGTAAGGGCACTTAATTGCTACTCTTCTTGTGCTTGAATGCTCAAATGCATTTGTAAGAATGCAAAGCGCCCTCAACAGCTCATGCACAGAGGCAATAGAAAAGTACAATACCTTGACCAGTCTCCTTCTTTATCTTGCCTTTTCAGCTGACATCTATCTACAGCTAGCCTACGTCTTCTTCTGGATGGCTGCCACAGCTGTGTGTCTTGGCCTTATCTACTTTTATGGATTGGAGTTTGTGAATCAACCCAAGTTGGCACAAGCCAAGGCCAAACTAGACTAATCTGCATCTCTACCATAACCAGAGTAAGACAGTCTAATACTTGATATCTAATTGGATCTGGTCAAGAAAAGGTTAGTGTTAGCCCAAAACCAGCTTAAACTTAACAAGGTTTATTAATACCACTTTATCATAATTACTAGTTAGAGAACTCCAGTACCAATTGTTTTGCAATTGTATGCAGCTGCTGGTATCCAAATCACTCTTTGGAAAAGGTGCAAATGGTTCCCTCCCCATATTTATACCCCAGAATGTTTTAATGAGTCAATGTCATGGTAAGATGTAATCTACACTTCTTAAAAAGAGGAGGGGGGGCTGTATATAAACAGCCAAGGACCTTGTACACTTTTATAGAACTGAAATTCAGGGGTAGAACAAAAATAGGAGATTGTAGGCTGTGGGCAACTGAATGAACCCATACCAATAACCCCAAAAAGCAAAGGCTGAAATTATTTTGCGATCAGGTTTGATATATATGTAAGGTTTGCCAACATTTTACAATTCAGCTTGAAGAAGATAATTGGCGTAAGATTTCAGGTGCATTGGTAATGACATGCATTCCCTGTACTCAAAACTGCTACAATTTGTATACAATAGTAATATAAAAACTATTTTAAACACATTGAAGTGTAGAAACTTTCAATTTATGTATGCCAACATAACTCCTTTTAAGAGACAAGATGTGTGATGGATGTGTATAGGCATTTCAAACCAAAGTCAGGTATAGTAACTTTGAATTCTATGAAAACGTTTCTGGATCACAGGAATGTGAGTGTTAATGTAAGTTACAGTGGAAATGCTGGTACATTCTCTGTAACTTTGACAAATCACAACATTGCATGCCTTTGTTGTCCCTGTTGTTAACCACTATTTTACAAATTTTTTTCACTGATAACCCATTCAACTATTCAGCTTTTAAGTCTCCTTTATTTCACCTGAGCACATGTCGCCTTTCCACATTGAAATGAAATCCAAGACAAGATTTATGGCACGGATATGTCTGTCATGATGTTATTCAGCCTTTGATATACCAATGTCAAAGCCTATCTAGATCTGTGGTGTTAAATTCCTAGAATATTTGAGTACATGGGTTAGTCTGAATGACCATTGTGCTGAACTGTTTTATCCATTGTGCTTTGGAATTGCGAGGGTCAAACGTTTTCCGATTTTTGTGGTTCAGGAGAAGCAGTATGTCTCATTTAATAAAATTAACTCAATTTACTCTTGGACGGTTGTTTTTGGAAAACGGATTATTTGAATCATGATCTTAATACTGACGAGTTAAAATCTTGCCAAAGTCAGCAGAACTGAGATAGCTGAATATGTGATTTGGATCTTCATTTATTTGATAGATTCTGTAATAGAATTCGTTTCATTCTTGAGCAGTTTCCAGTAATTTCATGTATGAGATGTTAATGGTAAAGGTTGCATAACCTGTGACACTGACAACATGGCACCTAGTGAGCTTTCGTAGTTTTCGTGATGACTCTTCTGGGGTTATGATCTTTCTTCTGGGGTTATGATCTTTCTTCTGGGGTTATGATCTTTCTTCACATATTTTTGTTGCAGAAAGTGTCAGATAATGGGAGGATATTAAACTTAAAAATATAGGACTGCAGGGGATTTTTTTATTTTTGTAATCAGACACTGTTTTCTAAAGGTAATAATTACACCTTTGAAAAATAGCATCTGAACACAAAACAAAAAAATCACATTCATTTTCTTAATGATTATTTTCTTTGTAATAATAATTTGGATGCTCATGTTATAGCATATTTAAATCACAATAGATACATGTACTGTCTGCATATGGCAGTTATACATCTAGAAACATGTCTCAGAGCATGTGGTTAACATGTGGATTCAGTGTTTCTGGTATATAGTCTTTGCCACACAATTTGCACTAAAATGATGGAATAAATAACTTATTATTTTTGGTTGTAATACTTCCTGACCGGGTTGAGAGGTGATGTTGACTGAACTCTGTCAGTTGGTTTTTAAAATCTCCACGAGATGTGTACTACACATGAACGCCGCATTAAATTTGTATTTAAAACCATTGTCCCAAAATTAAAATATTATATCGTGAAAAGCTAGTATGTAATTGTGTAGAAACACAGAAGCAGTAACGGCCACTGGAAACTTTTCATGGGAGTTTAAATCGTGTGATGTTAATAATTTTTTGAAATAAAAATCTGTCCTAAATGACAAATAGCAGTGTAAAATGTTTGCTGTCATGTTTTATTTATTTGTGGTTGGTTGAATGAGTGCTACTGTAATTTTTGGGTTTGGGTCAAACCCTATCTAAGACAATGTGGATTGGGTTCCTAGCCCTTTTCTGATTCTATACCATTTCTTTTGGATATCACTCGGGGGTTCCTTGATAAAACAAACGTGCTCTCAATAATTTGTAACACATTCACAGAGTACTTCATTTGAGCTGAGCTAACTTGACAATTTCATGGACCATTCATAAGGTGTTAAAAAATCTTTAGCAGCTTACAACGGCTTAAAACGCTATTACAGGTAATGCTAATTGAACATAGCCAACTTCACAAAGAAGCAAATGAGTCCTTTTAGGCAAAAGCTGTTGCCATCCAAGTGCAAACTTTCTGCAAACGTCAGCCGAAAATGGATCTCCGTGTTGTAAACAAAAGAGAAGGGTATACCACAATCACGCCAATCCCTGTACATCCTTTCAAACAGTTCTTTCCACGAGTCCTTTTTACGGAAAACGCGTCAGTTTACTCGAGCAGATTTTCCGATAGTTTTCGAACGAAGTGAATGCGTCGCTTTCGCATCTACACAAGCCCCAAAAGATCCTTCCGTCATAAAAAGTTCTTACAAAATCGCAGAATTTAATCACCCCTTTCCTATTTCGATTTGTGGCGTCTGCATCATGGCGGTCTTTATGTACAAGGTTACATTTTCAGCACTGATCTCTATAATACAATTTTATTATAGAGATCAGTGATTTTCAGTTTCTTCGCTGTGCGTACCATGGAGGGCGCCCAAGATACGGGGATTCTGACATCACATTCAATCACCTGTTTCATTGTCCTCGGCGGTCTGTGATTAGTCAATAGTTCACTGCCAGCGCGCTGAGCGCATACGTTGTGGCACTATAGCTGCGCAGTCATGACAACGAGAACATGTTGTAAGCCATCACATTCGCTGAAGAGCACACACTTTGCAGTTCAAGGTTCCCCAAAACATCGGACGTCTTTTTCTTCCTTTTAATAAAATATAAGTAAACGTAGCTCATGTATTATGCCCTTGCGTATGCAACAAGCACTGAATGTCGTGCCACCTAGCAAAGAGCGTCACACAGAGGTGAAGATCGCCCTTGCCCGGCGAGATCTCGCCCTGACCCGCGGAGCCATGAGTATTCCATGGCGGGGATCGCACCAGGCTTTACCGCCAAGCAAGAGCAAAATTTTTACCAAGCTGTTCGAAAATTCGAAGCGTATGTTCGGCGATCCAGACCAGAAGCTGACTTGCTTGTACGATCGAATGATTTTAGCTGGCCGTGGAACACCTATGGACAAAGGTATGAAAAAAATCTACAGAAATCACTTTTGAAACAAGAAAAAAAAAGATTTGTGTTAAGCAGTTTACAGGAACAGGGTACAATTCATTTCTTAATGAGACTCACCCCGCAGATCTATTAAAAGCCCCGACATGCTGCCGCTATCACTGGCTTCAGTACCAAACCGGTAAGCAACGACTCATCGATGCTGTTCTACCGTATGAAGACCTGTTTCAACCGCCCACCCCGGTCTCCAAAGCCCTGCGAAACCTCCGTAAACCCGATCAGCTTTCCAGAAGAGTTTGGTGTGATTTGAACCGGAATGCACGAGTACAGGCAACCATTGCCACTGTAATCGTCAGGTGAAAACTCATTAGGTTAAAACATTACGAGCAACATTTTCCTGAAATAGAGTTTGCCCTTTACTATCCTTTTCCTATACAAATTGACATTAATACAAAAGAATTCGGGCATGCATTGCAAACAAGCCAACATTTCTAGGACATCAATTCAATACCAAGTCACCTTAACATTTCATATTGTTTTTACAGTTTCATAGTAAATAATTAGTTTTGATACTGCATATCAAGTCTGATCTGTTTTCAACCTTTTCCTTTCTTGGACTGTTGGACAGTACAAACCCAGTGCTGCTCAGCTTGTTTCCTCACTTGTTAAAGTTTACGCTGATCAACTGTCAAACTCTCATTACTTTCCCGGAGGTCAGTGAACTGAGCTCACTACAAGTTTTTGAATTACTCCCTCCCCATTACATGTATTTCTTTTACAATGGAAAGCTGCATCTTGTGTGACCTGTTACAGATGGCACAATGTACGCAATGATCCTGGTTATGACATAGACTCTCTATACGCCACGCTGCGCCCTTACGGTGAGATCGACAACATTGTTCAGACCAGTCCTCTCAGTGCGCGAGTCATGTTCTGTGATCTCCAGGCAGCCTGTCATACTGTGGCCGAACACTCCTTAGGACGACCTGACAACCCTCTGCTGTGCCTGTGGTATCACAAATCCATGAAGAACAAGCGCTTTTACGTTAGAAGGCGACATCTCCATGTTTCTTTTGACCCATCTGCTACTTAGACTATGTAAACATTATTGAACACATGCACTATAAATTGTTTTAACACAACACACCAAAAATGCAGAACGAGGAGGAAAATGCCGACACATTCATTTGAATATATTTTTATAATAAATTCAGTTAAGCACACATGATACATAAATCTGAAACTAGGACAAATATGTTTAAAAGCTTATTTCTTACACTCTACAAAATAATTCCATGTAACAGTCTTTGATTGTGGGTTAAGCATAGTAGTTCCAACCTGAATAAAACTACGAATGTCAACTATGAATGTCAAGTAAACAGTCATGTTCATCATTAATTGTTAAAAATCAAAATTGAAGCTGCCCAACTTTCCAGCATGGAAAACAAGGTGAAAACTTAAACAACACTTTTATAGGATTATGTATTTACAAGATTGTATGGTAAAAATATATAAATTAAATGGTATAGTGAAATATTATAAATATATGCCGTCAAAAATATGAATTTACTGTATAGATAGGTAAAAGTTATTTTGTTCACACGCACCATGTTAAAGCAACGTTTCTGCAAAATGGGTGGAATAACGTTTGTTTTTTATATTTAAAGAAATCAGTTTTCAATGCTTCAAGTAAAAAAAAAAACAAAGTCATGCATGCAAATGGAAGAGCAAAAGAGATTTATGTAAAATTCCCAGTCACATGAGAGTGTTTCGTGTTTTTAGTTTGTGTGTTCGTGGTGTAACTCTCATGGAACTCTTCCCCAAAGTGACTCTGTAGAAATACCATTGTCATGGTGACCATTTGGATTCATACATTGTTCACTCTGCAATCCACTCTAACAACAAGAGTTTTCGTTCATTACTCCTCTATCCTTTCGACTTGGAGATAAGTTCTTTTTCCATCTGGCATCTCAGAATGACTTCATTGTTACATCCTTTGTTCCTCTCACTTTGAGGATAGCACTCCTTACAGCTTCTCTGGCTCTCTCTACCTCTGCTATGGTGATATGCCGACTTTCTGACATCCTCTTATGTAACTTGAGGAAGAAAGGAATGTAGGTTAAGTATTCCATGAAATCAATGGTGCCGCTGTCATCCGCATCGATGGTGTTGTACACATGCTGGACAACCTCTGGGTCAATCCCGGTCTCTAGGTTTCCTGAGAGACAGATGACTAACATGATGTCTTCAAGGGTCAAGCGACCATCAGCATCTTGATCAGTCACCTGGAAAATTTCCTGTTGGGAGGGGGAATGAATGAGTGCTTTATTAAATGCTAAGAGTTTTCAGTCAATTTGAATCAACCTCAAACTGACCCACTGCTAACTACAGCTTAATTTAGCTGAAGGGAGCCCTTTGTGACTTAGATTTGCGATAAAATGCAAGTTACGATATTACTTATTGCATTACAAATTTCATCCATTCCATGTAACCTTCAAAAAGAGAAGCCATGATGTGTATGCAAAATTTGAACTTTTTGTATGGAATGACGACTGCTAGAATTATGTTAAAAGGCCTTTCTGTTTACCCTGTAGTATGCAGTGTCAATGATTGTTACAAGTACAAGGCAGGTTCCACCTTCCTTTTTTTGTGCAATGCCTTTCTTTAGGACAAGCTTTATCTGGACAGTGGAAGCCACCAACAGGTTGTCGTTCATGGTATGTACTGTGGCAACTCAAGACAGAATTTGAGGATTTATCCAAGGGGTGTGGAGGATTCTAAACTTTTCTAGTAGTGATGACATTTATGACTAATCAGACCAACGGCCTGATGAATCACATGCTAAGAGATGGGCACATTTAATTTCACAAAACCAAACTTCTACAAAAGCTGGCTAGCTTGAAGCTACGGAAATAGCACACAGCTGAAATCTATTTCTACATATCTACTTTTCTACTTTCGTGAAAACAAAGTGTAATCAAACAGAAATTCGCAATGATGTGTTTTTAAATCCATTATGCTTGGAAAGTAAAAAAGAGCACACCTGAAAGAGAATGAAAATGTCAAGCTGGAAAAGTGGTAAAACAAAAAAGCAAGGAATTAAGGATGCTTGGAAACCAAGGAGCAAATCAAGGAGCAAAAACTTACTTCAGTAAGCATCAGTAAAGTACAAAGCTTAATGTCTTCACCAAGAGGGAGATATTGCACTGGCATTTACTGTTGCATTTTGTCATCTCTTCTCAACAGTGGCATAGCAAAGGCATTTTCTTGGGGAAGGGGGTGTCAGAGTCAATTGGCCGACTTGTAACTTGTTTGCCAACCTTGTGTCATGTAAGATTCACAAAGTGATCCGTGGTACACTACTGTACATGGCATGCTTCAGGGTAAATGACAATGGCTAACGTTAGGTTCCCCTACACCTCCGCTTCTCAAGCTGGGTTTTGTTTCAAGGCCTTACAGACTGCAAAAATGATATGTAGATGCTGCAATGCATTCAATCATGTGGAATTGATCAAAATCATTTTGAAAAGGCAAATAATACTCTGATTGGGATGCGATTCCCTCAGTTAGGGTGCAAACTCCCTGATTGGGGTATCCTGAAAACTGGGGTTTCTGACTGATATCTGCAATACATGTACCTTATCCCTCAATTGTAGGTATACATATACATGTACATGTATTACCCTAATCAAGGACTCTTATTTGATTCATCATTCAGCTATGTACCTGTTTTGGGATACATTTAGGACAACTGATAAAACAACCTGTGAAGTTGTGGTACATTCTCGTACATACTTCATACACTGCTGAGTAATTGTGCTTAGAAATGAACAAGAAAATGTGATTTCTCATGGGAGATGTAGCGTAGCTCCGATAGACGGATTGTATCCGTTAAATCACATGACCTATAGTGGGTATTAAATATCAACAAACATGGCATCCACCAAAAGCAATGTGTTCATGAGTATTATTTACCAAAAACAGAGCCGATGGTAGATACTGTACTCAGACTACTGATGTGCTGGGTACTCAAACTACATCTTGGGGTTGCTATGGGGTTGATACCCTCTATAGGTCAGGTGATTTAGCAGGTGCAATTGGTCCATTTTTCTTTTGTTTTATCAGGCAGCAACTGATGACTGGGCAATTTCTAAAAAATCTTCATCCAAAGTCAACACTCTGGGTTACAATGTCACAAATCAATCATGCACACAGTGAAACAGACGTGCGTGTATGACACTATCTTGATGATGAAAAACATGCCAAGTCATAATAGGAAACAATCCCAATTGTATGAAGTGCTACCGTGATGTGGAAACTACTGTACATGGAACTAACATGGTCATGCATGTCACAAAAAAGACAACATTCAAAAGAAACCACGTCAAGCAGAATTTCACAACTGGAATGCAGTATACCAGTCTATTTACTGTGTATCGCCAGTCATCTGATGTGTAACATCCCCTCTGTTGCCTTGACAACTGGAGACCTCTATCTCCACATTGCCTTCCTTCTCATGCCGATGTGATGCTACTAACTTTCGCTGTTGAGGCAAGAGTGAGTGAGCACTGAAGCTACATGATGATAAGATCTTCAACTATGCCAAAAGTGCAAAAGACAGATGCTGAAAGTGACTTTCCCTATGCAGTACTGTATCTTTCATAAATGTATCAAAACAAGTTATGAATAGGATATGTACCAGCAGGTGCTGTGTGCAAGGTGCACAATTGATTGCCGACTACAGTGCAATAAATGTTCTCATGAGTGCTCATTCAAGTTCCTAGCAAGAAACTAAGGGGTGAAATTCTGCAATCTGCAGTGCATGTATTTCTATTGATATACTTTTAGACCAGGTTGTTTAGAACTAAATTTTCTGGACGCTGACACGCCAGTAACTCCTTGCACAATCATAAACTGCCTCAGAACTCTGGTGGTAATGTTGACCATGAGGTTTGGGCAGGTACAGTGACCGAACGGAGAACTAGCTATGATATCCTTCAAAATGAGCAACAACGTCGGGTTTGTTAACCACTTCGTGCCGGTGGCAGTTATCAATGTTGATGATGCTGGGAAAGGATAATTATCATTTTTTTTCTGTTTTCAAAATTCTTTAAAAATTTATTTCTTCATTTACTGGACACTTACACCCACACGAAGGACTGTCTGGTTTTTACTCTAATCTGACAGACAACATCTATTGACGCTGGAGTATTTCAGCTAAGCCTGCCACCTTGTAAAAAGAGCCCAGATTTTGCTGTGTTATGTAATTTTCTTTTGTTCACGAGACTGGCAAAGTGCTGACCTCTTTTCAATAGGGGCCAGATTAGTGTGCAGCGGTACTGTGTGGCTCATCGCTGCGGTGGTGGAGCGCTTTTGTCCCCGGTGGTAATCTGCTTACACTAAATCCCCCAAACTGTGGTATACTGTTTCAAACAAGGCTGGATTATCTCCACTATTGAGAATGAAAAATTGTCCAGCAGCCTGGTCTTTTGTTACAAGTACGGTCTATTGTTACAAGGCCCAGTTCCCTTTGTCCGATTTCGGGAGACCCTGGCCACGCGAATAAAGAATATGTGTCCGGTACTTGGAAACCGGCGGCAAGTGGTTAAACCTCATCGTTTGGAAGTTTATCAATTCTCAGAGATTTCTCGATTGTCTCCATTTTTTGTTACCTTGTAAGCCGTGATGCTCTGGGCAAGCCTGTCTAGATCCAACTCCAAAGGAGCATCTGCTGACTCAGTTAGTTTCCCTGTTAGCTTATCATTGAGCGCAGCGACGATTACAAACTCACGCTCATCGATTGTTTGGTCTTTGTTTAGGTCAAACACCTGTAAATAGTGCACAAATAGAGATTCCACAAAAAAAAAATTATCATGCTTCTTTATGAGAATGGCCAATAAACCTTTCAGTTGGTTTTATAAAGTGACCCTGATTACTCTATCTGAACTGCCCAAAATCCATCAAGCTCAAAAAAACTGGTTTGATTTGATGAATAATAGGTACAGAACTGGTGAGAAAAACCATGATTACTGTTCATGGTGCCACAAAAGTCATGAAAGTAGTGGCATTACAATGTAAATTTCTGTCTGTATTCAGATATGTTCTATGTGGATATTCCAAAGAGAACAGGTGTATTTAAGTAAAAAATGACACCTAGCATTATCACAACCCTGTTTTTCTTTCATCTGATATTTTACCTGCATGAATGCTCGGCCTAATTGTCTGTTGGTCTTGCCTCTATACATTCTCTTAAAGAGCTCCTGTAAAGTGATGACACCGTTCCCATCAATATCCAACTCCTGAAATTTCTTCTCAAACACTTCTTGCTGCCGAGGGCTGATGAAATTATAGATGTCTGCCATCTGGGAAGGAAAAGATCGCAATTTGTTCACTTTCCAAGGCCACTTGGGAGACGTTGCATTTATCAAGATGTTGAATTTTTTTTCAACAGCTAATTTGTTACAAAACAGTATCATTTTAAAGCTGCATTTGGAAAAAATTTTCAAATGATTCCTCAGGTAAAAGATCATCTAACTGAATGAACAATGTTGAAAAGGTTTGCTAGTCAACTTAAAGAGCCAGTGATATGTGCACTCCCCGAGGCCTAACATGATCATTCTTGTTGAGAATGATTTATTCTCTTTTGACATTCATGGTGCAGTCTCCTGATCACGTTTGAATTCTAGGACATGGAATCATGATTCAACTTAAGATTTTTACAAATATAAAGAATCTGTCCTACAACTGCAAACTCACCTTAGACTTTGCTTGTTCCACTTTGGCTGTGGCCATGATGGAGTCATCTGCCTTCCTGGCCTTAGCACTTCTAGCTTCTTTCTTCTCCGCCCTTAATCTCTCAACCTCCTTCAATTCCTCATCATTACGGACTTTTCCAAACACTTCCTGTCCGTAATCAATGTCCTGATTGTCAATATTCAGCTCATCCAGGTTCAGCTCTGATCCTTCCAGATGTCCAACATCTTTGATGCCTCCTTTGAGACGGTCAATCCTACTTAAACTTTCCTCCATGGCTGCAATCTTGTCATCACTAACGATCATTCCAAGAAGGGCTTCCTCAGCAGTTGGATGACTTGGTTCCTCTGATGCCCTAGCAGCGAGTTCTCCTGGGCTAGTTTCTTCTCTAGATGAATCAAAGCTATCTGTATCCTTTCCATTTGAAGAGGTAGGACGATCAGGCTTAAAATTACCAAGCATGTCCTGGATATCATCATAATCTGCGTCTGCTCCCTCAAGTTCTGTCATGAAGGCACTGAATGGATGAAATATGAAGTCAAAGAAAGAAACTGCAACTGGTTCCATGCTCCAAAATAACGCAAGTATTATAATTATTTCCTTCAATGTGAATAGCATTTAATACATTAGCTATTATTATATGGTAGTTTTCACAATGGTGTGGGACGGAATACTTGTTGCAGGAATCAGATTTCTCTTTGGAAGGGTCTAAGTAACAGACACTCATATCTACTCACTCCTTTCCTTTCTTTTTGGCTGTTGTCTTAGAAATCTTGACATTTGGCATCATGCTAGGAGAAAGATAGTAGTAAAGACAATAACACCATCACAATCAAAGAACTGAAATACAGCGTATAAAACCTCAATATTGCTACTGCAGGTAAGACATGACAAGGTGCATGTATAATGCCATAAACAAAAAAGAAACATCTTACTTTTGTATTTCCACCTCATCTGTGCTACCAGAACCGTTATCTGTATCTGCCCAAATAAAGAATAGTAGTGAGTTTCATTTCTAGAACAAGATGTTCTGAAGGGAGTTTGGGAAGAAAAGTTGATACTCCAGAAGTGATACTTGACAAAACAACAGTTTAATGGTGCTCTCTAGCATGAGGAAGTGCTTACTTTTTATATTCTTAAGAAATAAGTTGATCAGTGATTCCCGCAGGAATAGACTGCTGAAAAGTGCAGGAATAATCTCTGAAACTACGTGCTGGCAGAGTAAACAAGGTGTGAGAAATTAATGGATCATAAATAAAAGGAGAAAAGTACAAAGTTAGTGCGTTTCCAAATCACATACAATCTAGTGAGTTAAAGTGTACATTTAAATAAGTCGCTCTTTCCCAACCTGTTCAACATTACTGGAACTCTGTATTAATGACTGTGATGAAACATGAACCGGTAACAAATTCCAGCTCTAGATTAATTTCAAAAATATTACATGCAAGGAGAGATAAATCTTTAACACTTAAAAAAGGACAAAAGCAAATGTTACACTACTTTTGTTGTTAAAATGAGGCCTTGTCATGCAAACATTAGCACAAGAACACAGTCATGCAAAGATCTCAAAACATGTACATGTAGTGTGTCAAACATGCATACTTACAGGTGCATCAAGAGCACCACGAAAGGTGTCAGGTGCACCAAAGATCTCATGAGGAACTACTGAGTTAAACACACACAATCACAGGGGCACCCAACAGTTAAAGTGCAAGTACAGATTGACGTGATGTCCATGCTGGGAGAAAGTGCATCTTCAAGTTGGTAAATATGCCAGTGGAAGAACCTCGAGAACGTCACAGCAAACGGTTGGGCACGTCAAGCACGACCTACCACCATCATCTGTCCTCACGGCGTCATGTTCATCTTCTGGTGTGAGGATCCCTTTCTCTTCATTATCAACTGTCTCTACTCTTTCTTCTCTAATGTTTTCATCGGGGTTCTCCTTGACATCTGGTTTCCTCAGATTTGTCTCATCCCCCTTGGGTTCAGTGTCTGGGCTCTCCTGGACATCATCAGTGGTCTGTGTTATGGCGCCCTCTACTGGCTGGTCAACATCCTGACCTCCATCGTTGCTAATTGGTGGATTATGATCTGGGTTGTCTTGTTCGTTTGTTGCCTCTTCCGCTTCATTAACTTTTTCATGTTCTTCCTCACAAACAGAGTTTTCAACGTCTGCCATGACCTCTCCCTTCTGGTTATTATCATGATCTATCCTCTCAACATCATTTTTAGCCAAATCACTTTTGTCATTCTCTTTACCAACAGCTGCTGCAGATTTAGCAGCATGAACAAACTCTTCATTTTCATTAATTGGTGTTGCTATGGTAACTTTATTTCCATTCTCAGTGGTTTCTATGGGGATTTGAGATGCGTCAGTATCATTACCTTCTCGTTTCTCTTTCTGTTCTTTGGTGGCTGATGACAGTTTTGTCTGTTAAGAAAACAAACCAACCAGATTCACACTCTCTTTCATGAGTAGGGTTTTTGGCTGCTGTGTTCACATGAAGCAGTGCTATATACAGGCAAACCACACAGTGGGTTTTATCAGTATTGTCATGGATTTAGGACAATGAAGGCTTGGTGAAAAACCTGAAACTCTGGAAGAATTTTCACATAAATTGTAGCAGCAAACAACCTTCTGTGTTTACAAATATGTTTGCTTTGAAAACAAAATTGTTGTTACCAGTCAAAATGTCTTATACTCTGTATTTCTTGTGACTCGTTCCTTGCCGATTTTCACTTAGCAAAAAATCTGCTTAGCATATTTTCTGCTTTAATACTGAAGCTCCACAAAATTGGGCATCAGCGACAGGCAACAATGGGCAAATTTGCAACGCACCTGCGGAGTACCACGTCCACTGCCCATCCTGACTCCGTATCTGCCGTAGTAGGTGACTAGGGTACTGATGTACGTAATCATGTGGTACAGAAAAACCAATCAGATACAGGGCATGCAAATAAATGATATGGTGATACATGCAAATAACATGCAGAATACTTGATGAATCAAGAACTAAAAATTATAAAAAAAAGAAGTGCACAACTAATGGGACCTACTGTAATTGCTGAGGGATACGTTAAGGAAAAGACCGCTTGAATGAAACAACAATGCATTATTAAAGTAACCTTACATGACGCCCGGGAGCTGTTAAAAAAAACCCAAAAAACCCCAAACCCCCCAAAACAGCCACTAGAAAAGACAGAAAAAAATACCAACTCAAGTTACAGGTGGCATGCTAATTAATGACCCTACCTCTCTCTCTTGGTTGACCTAGCCTGGATGAGTTGTCTTAGCTGATCCATCTCTTCACTGTCTACCATGTAGCGATCGTGAATTGGCACTGCTGATCCACACATATGGTACTTTCTGTCCTTGCGGTGAGCCATAACCTATCATCAAAATTAGGACACTTCAAGGATCCAGGAAACGAATTTTTCTTAGACTCACTTTTTGTGTATCTCTGTACTCTTCTTCCATGTATGAAGACTGTTTGACATCTTTTTTGAGTTACATGAAATGAACGGTGCACTTTTTCAAACATTAAAAATTGACCAAGCATTTCTGGACAAGTGAGGGCGCTTTTGCTTTGATGTAAATCAAGGAAGACATGGTTCAGGTGGCATGTTTTCATGTTCAAATTGTGAACCCAAAATTTGCTATCTGGGAACATTTCTGTGAAATGGATTTTTGCTGGATTATTGCCATATACTTACACAGCAATAAATCGCCAAAGAAAATGAAATCTGCCATAGCAGTGGTTAAAAAAATCTGAAATTTTCTATGCACAAATCGATGCAACATTGAGATTTGGTGCCTTGGATGACATCATAGTTCTGTTCATGAATATGCAAATTTCATTAGCATAACACCAAAAAAGCATCAAAATATGGGTTAAAATTGCAAAACAAAAATTTAAATGAGGTTAATTGAAACCCAAAGATGCAATTTCAAGGGTTTTTAGTAAAATCTATAAAAATATTTCTGTGAGAAGTTTACGTTTCAACACATGATCAATTGGTAACAATCAAGTTCTAAACATTTGTTCCATATGACCTGCAAGTCTGACTTGCTCAAAGGTCGCAAAAGTTTGACATTTCAATCACAGAGTTACTTTGGTTGTCTTCTTGAGTGTCCTAGCCTGTAACAGTGCAATCCTTTCCTCCTCAAAACGTCTCACTTGATCACTTGTTGCCCCGGTGGAAGACGCCGGATGGAGAACCTCAGCAGCAGATTTACTTCTGTTGTAGAATGAACAAAACAAATTGACTTG